AGGTTATTTCCTACTCCCTTGGTGGTTTATGAAGACTTTATGGGCAGGATGGTGGTATTGAGGCTGCATCTTAAATATGGGTGGGCTTTGGCAATATAGAGATGAATGAGAAAGGCATTCTGGGAGGGGGGAGCTGCCAGAGCAAAGACCTTGAAGAAAAGCATGGGCTACATAGGATAAATACAAAGTAGTGAAGGATACCACTTGACTGTGGTGCATAGTGGAAGGGAAGCGAGGAAAGTGTCAGAAGAACGTTGAAAGATCAGCAGGGCCAGCATGGGGTGAGGAGTGGATGCTGGAAGCCTCTGAAAATAATGGCAGGCTCAACAAACCTGCTGTTTTATTTGAAACAAAAGTTAGGCTAGAGTAACGTTTCTGAATTCTATACTTTAATGGCCAATCTAGCCACTCAAGTTTTAACTATTTCATTGTTTGACGTTTTTGAAAATTGTTTTCTGCCTCAAATGGACAGGGCTATTGATAAGTATGGAGTCTAAGTGGAAGTTCACCTGCGTTGCTCTTGTTCTTACTGGCTGTATTCAGCCAAGCTATCGGCATGACATTTTTTGATCATGCTAATGCTAGAGGAACTTTGTTTTGCAGCTGGTGGGAGTAGAGGGAAAATAGGTTTTAAAAAGTCAGCTCAGGCATCTTAACATTCAACTGGGAATGGAGAAAAAACACCTTGTACCTCATACATCTACATATACATTCAGCTTAGAAATAAATTACATCAAAGACCGCTTAAGCCACAAAAAGCCATAAGATTAAACCCAGGAATGTCACCTAGAAGCACAGAGAAAGGCTGAGGTGATTAAGGGGTGTGTCTTCCATCTTTTGAAATAGACACACAGAGCACTAGCAGGAACTTGCAGGTCTGTCTAAACTGCTACACACATACACACACGACACACACACACACATATACACACCCACACCCCAACACACATACTGATAGGAACTTGTAATTATGGGACCCACACACTCACATATACACACTCACACCCCACAAGCTCATATACACACCCCAACACACCCACTGACAGGAAAACCTGTAGGTCTATACTAAACTGCTATACACATAACACACACACACACACACACACACACACACACACACACACACACACCAGTTTAGCTTATATACAAAGGAAAACAAAGCAGCAAAGAAAAATGACTATAAAGTCTCTCTCTACAGAGCTATTTTTCATCTGATCCTCCTTAAACTAGTTTTAAAGTGCTGTCACACATCTGAGATTGTGGGCACGCAGTCTCTTGGTGATGCCTCTGCTGTTTACCTGCTTGTGACTTCTCTCCTTTGACCTTCACATTTGACCAAGTCTTAGAGATCTAAAATGCTTTTCTAACTCAGTTGGAACTATAGGATTATAAATGATGTAGAAATGGAAATTGCATTTTGTTATTTTTAATGGAAAAGCTACCAAGAATGTAATCAGAACAATCCAAGTAGAAGAACTTCCCAGGTGACGCCTTGTGCTATGGGTAACAGGGTGGCTTAATGAACCGAAAAGGAAGACGGTTCTCAATGCCCCTGCACATTAGAAATTTGGACGTTTGGCTCTGTATTAATTTTCATGTTGGCTCCACACCTTCAAGCCTGTAGTCAAACTCCTTCCCCGAGTTTTACAATTCTCTGATCCTTTTTCTAAAAAGAGCTCACAATCTAGTTTCATTGCTCATTCAGTTAACCTTTCTGTATTCTGTAAGGCTAGGATGCTTGCAGCTAATTCCACTAATACAACTTAGAGAAGCCAAGGGGTGAGGAAGTGGTGAGGATCTCTAAATAGCATTGGCAGCAAATAGGAAGAAGCATCATCTGAGAGCAAGAATTCCTCAGAAAGGAATGCTGTGGGCGCAAGAAAAACAGCAACAACAAACTATCTTTTCTCACAGGAGTGCTGATTTCATCAACGTGAATTAACCTATATTTCACTCCAAGGGCGATGAACAAAATCTTGTTTTCCCAGACATCAAACATACACACACACACACACACACACACACACTCACACACTCACACAGAGACACAGTCCTGCTTTCTCCACTAAGCCTGCCCTTGCTCTCTTAACTACTTGGAATCTCGAGCCTCTCTGAGTTTCTACATAGTTAATATTCCAAACCATGTGCTCCAGCACTTTGTTATTTTGTATGTTTTTTCCCTCCACTGTTTCTTACAGGTAAGTTTCTTCATCAGAGGCAGAGTACAGGTAGCTGCTTCTGTGTCTTCATTATTCGCCACAGAATTGAATGTGGAGGAAATCCCCTCTCCGGGTCACTCACCAATGTATGAAAATGTGTCAACAGGACGAGAGATCCTTTGGTCCCTGTTTCCTGATATAGCCAAAAGACAACATAAGATTGGGCACGAGGCAGGATTCCTTGGCCACTTTGCTAGGAGGAGAATCTCTGTGCTGATGTATTTGACCTCCATCCTCTGTAATATAGACTGTACCAAGTCTACCGTGCACATAGGATCAGGTGCCCCATGGCTGCATCAGTCACAATTCACTGATTCCTGACATGCTTCAGCAAATCCCAGCCAGTGAAATATGTGTATGTATGCACTTAGTTAACACAAGTCTACATGATATGCTCAATTCCTTCATACTCAATTCATTCCTTCTTGGAATGAATTCTGCCATTTCTGGTCAGAGGGGTTGTTTTCCACTTTATTGCCTTTGTAGACTTCTTTTTTCTTGATCTCAACACTAGTTCTGCTCTTTGTTTAATGGCAAAATATATTTTTTATTCATTCTTTAGATTTGGAGGTTAGTATGCAATGAATAAAATTCAAATCATAATGCTCTAACAACATTGACAAAACTTCTTTTGCTTGATTGCTCTCAAATTATAGCAAAGTTGTTGACCACTTCGGTTCTAGAATTTGGAGGTTTTTTTCTTCCTCTGGAAGCTACATCCGGTTATGATATATTTCCCTTATGGGAAAAGTCTTGCGAAAGCTTGTCATCCCTGGTCTTTGAGGCAAACCGTAAGATGACCAGGCTGTCAGTCTCTGAGGGCTCTCTCTGTTTGACTATGGTGAGGACTTGCCTATGAGGAGAAAGCCACCTTTCACCAAAAGACAAGCAATTACTCATAGTTCAAGACAACTAAAGGTTTAATTTCTCTTTGAGAAGGCCCCATAGGAAGCAATGACTTTAAGCAAAATCTTTATGAAAGGATTCCTTCTCTGAATTTTCCAAACAGGCCTCTTTGTTATTATCCCAAGAGAACTGACAACCAGTCAGGGAATCAAATCTCCCTTATCATTTCCAGACTATTTTACCTTGCTGTGAACACCCCATTGGTGGGAGGGTCGCAAACGGTTCTCTCAAGCTTCCCTCAAGCCACCAATCTGGCGTTTCTGAAAGGTCCAAGCTCTTTTCTGGCCTCATGTGTTTGACTCCTACACCATGGGGAAGTCCCCCTTGGATTCCAAAAGAAAATTAAACTCCTTGGAATCCAAAACTAATAAACTTTCACAGAGTGGCCCCAGGTGGATTGGTTATCATGATATTTCAGTCTCACCTAACCAATAAGAGGGCCGGTTGGCAAGTTCCCAGGATGAATATTCTCATATGAGCAGTGGATTAGAGGAAGCCAAAAGATTTTCAGCCATCTGCATGCTCAACTTACACCCCACCTGGGTTCTGAGGTAGAGATCTTGTGACGGTTGGGGCCCTGCGAAGCAATTAAAAGAAATAAAGCAAAGTATTATATTTTAATTGATGTAATCTTCAAGCTCCCAGTGGAATCTGGAGTGATATCTGACTAGAGTTACCCTAGGTATCAATAGATGACTATTCTGTGAAAGTGCATTTAGGAAGACAAAACCCTACGAATCCTGAACTTCATTAACATGTGTATCCGTTTGGGGGGAGGGATTGGCTCAGACTCTCAGGACTAAAAATTGAAAGAAGCCACCTAGACTTTCCTGGGATCTGAACAAAGAGTGAAAGGGGGGAGGAGGTAGTAGAGAGGGAGGTGGAGAGAGGGAGGAGAGAGAAGGGCAGGTGGAGGGGAAGACACAAAGTGGGTTGATGCTTTTATTTGCTTTTCGAATCTAGTACCTGGTGATTAGACATACTGAACCATGTTTTCCAAACCCAAACAGCTTTCATCCATCATAACATTTCAGGGTTTGTTTCTGTTTTATTGTAAATATTCCAGTCAAAGAAAGATCAACAGACAAGAAAAAACTGCTTTATACAGTATACAGAGTCAGATAGAAAATACAGAATGGAAAAGAAAGACAACACCCAACAGATAAAAAGTGGAGACAAAGCAAGGAAGGGTACTAGCTGGTTGCAAAATCCCCCACCAGCTTGAGTGAGGCGCAGTGATGATTTCAGCAGCCAACAGAAGCCGTCTAGTGCTGTCAGTCTTATCTTTACTCCACATGGTGAAAGAAACAGACTATATAAATGATGCATGGGGACATTTATTTCGCTAATCCATTAAAAAAGTTAGCTATTGATCAAGATATCCTGCTCATAAAAACGAGTTTTTTAAAAAACAACCCTACCCGCCCCAAGTGTGATCTGACAGTAAGAACCCCGTTGTCAGAAGCATGACGTGGAGGTGCGGGTCAGAGCAGAGTGGCACCATTGGGGTCTGCGGTCAGCCGGCCTCTGGGTGCCCTTCCCACCAAATCCACATTTCTCCACGAGGTTTGGGGCAAGGTTTAAAAAATACGCAAGTGTCCTGCACAGCTTGCTGTTATTTGATGGTTAAAGAGAAAAAGGGGTTCAAATTCATGAGAGGGAAGAGGTCGGCTTAGGACAAAGCTGGCATTCCTCATAGGAATAATCAGGGTACCAACCATATGGCCCCCAGGAGGGCAGCCCTAACTAATTGTCCTGGCACCAAGAGGATGCCGACCTACCCAAACGGCAAAAACATGAATTAAGCTCGTCATCTTCCAAAGATGTCTTTATTTTAGTACATTCGAAACAGAAACAATGTGAGGACAATTCTATTCAAGGCGGTGGCGGCGGTGGTGGAGGAGGAGGTGGTGGCAGCGGCTGTTTCTCGCTCCCTCTGATTTTTCTAAGTTTACGACCAGAAATTGCATAGAATTTGTTTTTCATCAGCAAATGAAAACTCTCTGCGTGAAAGTCCCAATTTGTGAAGCTAAGCAAAGGTCAAGCAGCTGCTGGGAAGCCTCACCCCTCCCATCAGGCGTGTGCTCCAGACCCTGTAAACTTCTTGCAAGTAGAGCCGTCACTAGCAGTCATCTGATAACCTGGAAAACATCAAACTCCTATTTTGTGGATGGAAGAGAAGTCAAATGCTTACCTAAAGTCACACAAGGGGGGCTGCTACCCAAGCGGAGGTTAGGACTCAAGAGCTCCTGGCTCCCAGGCCAGTGTGTTGGCTAAGAGACTCCACCCACCTCCCTCCCAGGAACCTGGTAAGTGCTTGATTACTTAAGGTCTTTCTATTTAATAAATACACAAAACACACACACACACACACACACACACGTACCCATGTCTCCCATCTAAGTAGCAAGAAACCACCCAATCCATGATAGCTTTGGGGGTCTGGCTTCATAGGCAGCCACTGGATTTGGTTAAAAAGAGATGCAGTTGACGAAGTATACACCATACATACCAACAGGGTGGCCCTGTCCTTCCTGCTCTGTGGGCAGCACATTCAACGGAAGCCAAGGCTATGGTATGGGAAAATTATATCTACCCTTTCTGCTTCTTAGACAAAATCCCAGGATACTTTGTGCATTCTGTTCTCCTCCTCAGTCTGTCTTCAGAGATCACATTCACAAAAGATCAAATCAAACCCAACAACAGCAAAAGTCAGAAAGATAAAGAAACAAAACAAAACAAAACAGATTAACCCTTGAAATCCCAGGCATTTCAAGGTCCCTCTGAGTATGTGTTAATTGCTTTTTGGCATTTAAAAAATGACGTTAATGAACTTTTATTTGAGACTCTCCATCGGACTTTTCCCACGTCCCTTCTCCTGTGCTCCCACAGGCCTGTCACCACACAGGAGAGCTCAGCACCTGAAATCTGATGCATTGGCAAAGAAGGAATAGGGATTGTTCAGATGTCCTTCCCTAACCCAGTCTTTCTCTCTAAAAAATACAAAACAAATAAACAGAACCGAGGAGATGACAAAGAAGAGAAGAGAGGAAGGAAAGAAAAGGGGGGGGGGGGGGGGGGGGAGAAGAACGTTAACAAAAATATACAAATCCAGAAAAGAAAAACTTCCCTGTTGAGTTTAATTTTTTTTTCCTGTAAGAACTAGACCGAAGGTACAATGGCCCCTTCTTAGGGGGAAAATTCAGCTGATGATCCCACACCAATTCACTGGACCAGTCTGGGCAGGAACCCCACCCCCCACCCCAGACTGTTATTTGGGCGAGAGGGAAAGCCCCACCGGGAGAACATGGGCCTTTGTGCCCTCGAGAGAGCGTTCCTTTGCCACTTGGGTGCAACGTCTCTGGACCCCGCT